AATTATCGCTCTGACAGCGCTGCTATATCGACAATTAGATATTATAATTTCTGTTGCATGAGATGTGTCTCTGTTAGAGATAGAATAATTGCATGGAGTTTATACTGAAGCAAGGGAATCATTGGGTGGCTATTCTCAGACCGTACGACGTCAATTATTGCTTGGACAGCGTTGCTATATTGACAATTAGATATTATAATTTCTGTTGCATAAGATGTGTCTCTGTTAGAGATAGAATAATTGCATGGAGTTTATACTGAAGCAAGGGAATTATTGGGCGGCTATTCTCTGACTGTACGACGTCAATTATCGTTCTGACAGTGCTGCTATATTGAGAATTAGATATTAGAAGGAGGATGTTAAAGATAGGTCGATTTTAACCCATGGTGTGGAACCAAAACTACAAATAGTTTCTTATAGAAGAAATCCAAGTCAAAATCGACCTATTTTTAACATTCTCCTTTAATATTATTTCGTCAGCTGCAATCTTTACCTTTTCTTCGAAGCCACATGATGATGATCTTCATGGCAATCACTGAGATCGGCAGCGTAATTTGGAAATTATCTATTATTGCTATCACATCGCCCCAAACTCTTATCAATGAAACTATCGCGGGTATGATCGAAACCAGGATCGCGGAAACCAGTGTAGTGAAAATGATAAAAGCCCGCAAACTTGCCCAGAATTTTTGTCGACGGCTCAATTTCTCGTCAGGCCATAAACCGATCATTTCCAGAGTAAAACGATTTATCCCGATGGCCCATTTTAAATCTACGTAATATTATTTTTCTCTTGAATAACACACATTTCTATGACGATATGCATACATATCTATCATTTATACAACTTCTGTTGAATATTGCGACTTAAATTTATACTCTTTTGCATGAAATAACAAAGTGCTATATAAGCGTAATCATTAATAAATCTGTGTGATCTTATATGCTCACTATATTTTATTTTTACTACTTTACTTTGCCTCAGAATATTTTTAATTTCTTTCAGACACATATAATAAATAATTAAAAGGCAAAAAACTATTTTCTCTATGGGTAATTATTATTCTTCTTGTAGTTTAAATATGATTTACAATAATATATAAATTTAACATATTTCATGCTTGCAAGGCAAAATGTAGCATTCTCAAAAATAATACTAACATAAATAATTCACCATACCTGCATATTCAAAATACTTAGAGCTGTGCATGTCCGATATAATATGAAGACAGAAGTATTCTTTTTTTTTTTATTCATTTACTCATTTTTCGAAAAGATAGTAACGACGCATGCTCACGGCAAAAGTTTTGTAAGCCGCGCGCTAATATGTAAAGTATCGGATCTCATAAATATCTCAGTGTATCGGCTATTTTTTTTCTAGTCGCGAATTTAACAATTTCTCGATCAAGTAACCGAATTCGTTGCTAACCACGGGTTTATAAATTTTTAAATGAGTGCAACGTTCCTTCACGTTTCACCATTAATTACTAATTAATTTTTTTTCTATTTTGTTCAAGTTTGCCTTTGTTCGTTTAAATTTTGTGAACTGTTAAAAAAACTATATAACGGCGCAAAAAATAAATGCGTCCATCGCTTCGCCACAAAGTTCCACGAGCTGTGCATTCTTAATAAAGCATCGTTATAGCAACGTGAGAAAAACAACGAATGTTAAGACAAAGTATACAGGGTCATTGTGAGGACTAACGAAATAAGCACTTCAGTTGGCAAGGTTTATCAAAGTAAGAACAGTGTTTCATGATGGCATATACGGTTGACGCAGTGAAATCTAATCGACAGTTAAGTATCATTTTTTATCTTACTTTTTTTTAATGTTAAAATGTACATTTTACTCATTTTTATGCTTTAGAATATTATATCATAACATTTGGTAGGCCTTGAACATTAGAATGCATATTTGCTTTACTGCAATGCATTGAAATCTTATATTTTAAAGGAAGAAATGAAACTAGATTGTTAAAGTATATATTTTAACATTCTAGGCTATTTCTTTGTGTAAAAATATAAGATTTCGATGCATCGCAGTAAAGTTCTAGACTTGCTAAATGATATGATATAAGATTCTAAATCATAAAATAAAATAAAATGTACAATTTTGTTTCGGGAAAACTCATTGTCGCATACGTGTTTTTCGGATGCAAGATAATCACGAGAATTCAAACTTTTTGACTTCTCTTTATTATACAATATATTTTTATAATATACACGTACACAGATAATGAAATTACAATTATGTCGCAACGTTATATGATGTCATAAATAAAACCGATACATCAAGATCAATCGAGTTGGCCAATCGTTAAAAAAAAATACATTTGCATGTTCGAATAATTCAGATATATAAAATGTTCGAATTTGATCTCAGCTTAATACATATACATATATGTGTGTCATGATAAGAGCATGTGCAATATGCATAAACATCTGCAGCGTGAAAAACTGAGAAAATCCGTTTTTGTCGCATGTCGCTACGTCAATTTTTCACTAAGTTATAGCGTTTTGAAAATCCGGCAGGGTCACCCCTAATTAGATGCGGATGACATTCATCGGAATGACTGGTATGCGAAAAAAAACGCGCGTGGGTGTGGCGACACGCGCAAGAATGCGGAAGTTATTAATACCGTCTAACACTCGTCTAACTGCAGCAAGGCATTGACCTATGCAGCGTACGTGGCGGGCGGCCGACTTTCGTCATCGGCCGATTTCGAATTATGTCGGAATCACTCGGGATATGATCAATGGTCGATGAGATTGTCAATCTCTCGCGAAAAAGTGTAGCGAACAGGTGTCATAACCAAGCAAGAGTCTAGCACTTCTACTAAGGCTAGAAATCATTCATTTCAGGTAATTTCAGGTAATTTCAGGTAATTTATTTGAAAGATAGCATTAGTTAATTACAAAAAACAAAATTAATTCTTTTGGTACTTAATATAGCAATGCAAAATAGTTGCTTTGTCAAATTTATAGGTTAAGACGGCATGTAAATATGCACTTTATGATTGCAGGTAAACATTCAGACAGTGTATTTATATGCATAATAACCTACGTGAACAGTTTTGGACTATATATCAATTCTCTGTATCGAAAGAATTAATGGTGTCTTGCGATTATTATATTTTCTGAAGAATATTTTGTATTTTATGTATTTTTTTTAGATAGCATATTTAATCAGCTATTTATTGTTGATGTATTTATTTTATTATTTATTATTTTATAGTATTAACTATATTTTATTATAGCTGATGAAACTAATTACAGCTAATTAAGAGAATTTATAAAAAGAGGATGGATAAAAGATTGCACAAGCTGTATAATGGGGTGTCATTAACTACATTGTTGCTAAAATACGTAGACAAGAATTTGTCATTAGAAATGCATATTGTAAGTATCTAGAATTTAAAAAATGGCTTAGAATGTTAAAATGTACAGTGTTTATTAATATTTTTATACTTTAGAATAAACTCTCATAACATTTGGTAAGCCTAGCATTTTAGAACATTTACATTTTCTTTATTGCAATGTTTTGAAAACTTATATTTTAAACAAAGAAATGATCTATAATGTTAAAATGCATATTTTATACATTTTTATGCCTTAGAATCTTATATTATATTATTTGGTAGGTGTAGAACTTAACTGCGATGTATTCAAGTCTTATGTAAAAATCTAGACCATTTATTAAGAGCTGGAAGTTCTTTTTCTTTGAAATACATTTTTTTATTTTAGACGTCCCACAGTCCCACGTCCAAAAGCTTACGATGTGCTACCCTTAGATGGCGTGAGCGACAGAGCAGAGTGTTTAGTCTCCATACATCTGTACGCTGATATCAGCATCAGCACCTGGATGATACCCGACAAAAGGACGCCGTCGTTCCCGTTGTCACGTGTTACGTGGAGTTAAACACTGGCATCCGAACACTCATATCAGTTAGATGACGGCGCGGCGCCGTGGGTTGACAGGTCATGGGGGCCTGTCTCGGCCACTGCTTAGCGAAAATCACAGACTCTATGCCACACAGGTTAGAGAAAGGAGTTTATTTATGAATGAAATATGTCAATTAATTAAGTATAAATGATTAAATTGAAAAATTGCATTAGACAGACTTTTACTTTAACACTTAAATGTTTTATAAAAAATTGATGAGTGCAAAACTATAGCTATATGAATTATGATTTTACTCAGTCGATATGCAAATAAAATTACATGCTGTGAATAGGTAAAGTTGTGGAAACTTTATTTAGTCTGATGTTCTCATTATAAAGAACCATTGTTCTTCTTTATTGATATATCACAATTTATTGATATATCACAATTAATACAAAAGAATATCTTTAACGTCATATTTTGTTTCATGTTTTCAGATTCTATCAAAGGCATACCAGAATGTCTTTCCAAGAAGAAGACCAAGCTGAGGTATATATTTACTAATATATTTTTCTTTAAAATCTATGCCTTTGTTAGCATTTGTAAGTTTGATCCTATCTTATTCAGTTTATGGACGTTGAAAGAGAAGAGGAAGACCAAACTCAAGGATCAAAAAGGTAAAAGCAATGTTTTATTTATAATTGTAATATATATTTATAACATTAATGTATTATATTTATTTGTCATGCTTGCTGGATATAGTTTATTATCATTTCTCTCTTTAAAAAAATTCAAGGTAAATGCCTATTGGTATTATATGTTTTATATAATAAGGATAAAAGATTACTGTTATTTTTATTTGATAAGATATATTTTTACACATATTATAAAATATTTAAATCATAGAAAAAGCATGGAGTTCCGGTGACTTTAGAGTTATTAGAAGATGGAGGATGGTCACGAGGTGGAAATAGATATGCTAGATTGAGTTCTAGGAATGATGTTTCCACAAGGTAGACTACATTTTTTTTTTATTACTTAATTTTTGTAATATATTTTAACTATACTTGCTAAAAAATATAAAATTAAATATTTTTAGTTCTGGACTGGATATATCACTTCAAGTTCTCGATGCAAGGACATTAATGAAACAACAAACTTATGTTTCCTCCACTCCGGGATCATCACTGGATCTTGAATGGGAACACGAAGGTAATTTATCACGTCATTATGTTTTTCTAAGTCTCCTAGTACACAGACAAATTATTGCAGGTATGCCTCTACCAATTATAGAGGATGACAAAGGAGAAACAGAGGGTTCTGTGACGTCCGTTAATAATAGCCAACCCTCCAGCTTGACGGCATCTCCTTGGTCTAGAGTTTCCAGCCCGAATAGTTTAGAATGGGACCCAGTGGAACCGGATATGGTATGTGTGGATATGGACACTGAGCAGCTTTTAACTGAGATAGAAAGATTAACAGATAGAGCTTTGAAAGAAACAGGTGAATGGACTAGCACTGATAGCTGATAAACGATTCAATTCTAATGAATGGAATTGTTTGTATTTTTGTATTATAGAAATTCATAATAGGATTAAAACAGATGTTCTATTGAAAAAAAAGAAAACAAAGAGATATATTATTTCGATATCACTATTCTTGAAAACGATATAACTACATTTATATCGTTTTTTAAGGTATCTATTGTACAGTTTAGGATATATTGACACACAGAAATCTGTCGCGGACACCCATGTTGTGTAACATACTTTATACAATAATCTGGATTATAATAATGCAGGAACGAATTAATCTAATTTTTGGCAATATATGCGTATAACAAATTGTATACATAAACAAAAGATCTATTTCCTGTTTTCAATTTTAGGCATTTAGATAAAGCATTTGCTTGCTTAGATGGAATTGAGCTTTATTATGAACTTTAGCAATATCAACGTATTTTTAATTTTGCTTTTCGCGCAGCTTCCATGTGACAATAAATTATTTTTTACAAAATAAATTTATGTACCATCATGTACTTTAAATTTTTAGTATTTAATATTCAAATTACTTGTTTTGATATGAAGTAATTTCATAGTAAAAATATTAGATTATTCAAATATGCATACAAGAATTTTTATTGCATCATATTTTTTTATGTAATTTTTCAATGACTGTAAAATGGTATGGTATTAGATATCTGTTTAAAATGTAAGCAGAGTGTGCAGTATACACATTAACAGATCAAATAATTAAAAAAAACATAGCAAGTGTACAAAACAAAATTATCCTATTTCCAATAGGAAAGAATTATTTTATTGTAATAAAGAGCACAGAAATATATTTGAAACAATTGCCGTAAACAGTGGATGTAGAATGCCTTAAGATAGATAATAAAGATTATGTAGTTTGTTATAGTTTATAGCTGTATTGCTTACGTTCCATTCACTATAATTTTAATATATTTCTATTATATCGTTATTAAATATGACACAAATAAAACAATTTTTTTATATTTGTTAAGCAATCCTAAAAAAATGTATCATATCAATCTAAAATGTAAAGAGACCTAGTTAACGAATAGAAAAGCGAATGTGGAATTCAGGAACGTCACTACATATGTGGACTATAATAAATGTTAAGAATGTGTTTCTATATGCTTTAATAAATAGTTACTTTATTATATTTCTATGTACATACAAAAAATGAATTTAGACAAGATTCTGCTCTAAGTCCTCTTTCCCTAACAGAGTATATAATTTACATCAAATTTTGTTACAGTGGCTATACATATATGAAAAGTGTATGAAAGTTATAGAATTACATATTTGTATAGCTTACATATTTATTACAAAATAGTATGTTAGGCAAGTAGACAATATAACTTACCGACAAAAATAATACAATGATTAATTATATGAATTTATTTGGATTTATACATAGGCAGCACGAAAAGTATTTGCAGATAACAGTTATCAAAAAATTAACAAGCTTATTCTAACTAATCGATTATAACTAATATACAAACTATTAAAACTTCCAAACATTGAGAATCTTAACATCTTAAAATAAAGTATATAATGAATCTCATAGATAATTATTTGAATCACAATATGATTTATTTTTTAATACTATGTAGCAGATGGAAACAAGCGACTAGTGCTTATAGTAAATAAACAGTAATTATTAACTAAGAATTTAATTTTTATTTTTCATTTTAGCAATAAAGTAAAATATGTGATAAGATAAATTTAAATGCAATTTTTAGGAACAAAGCAGATATACACTAACATATACAAATATACTTATGCAGACATACTTTCATCACGTATTACATTTTCATGAAAACCAGGTTATTTTTCAATATATGAATCGGATCTTTTATCGTAAGTTTAACAACAATAGTCATAAAATGTGTATAAAATTTACTTCGTTCTGTTCACAACGTATTTTCATAAAAGAATAAATTAAACGAGAAATAGTCGTCGCAAGATCAATACAATAATCGCGAATATTAAAGAGACAATAAGGATCGTCCAAAACAATTCGTTCGAAGAGGACATAGTCTCTATATGATTTAGAGTAATATCAGGTTGTGGATAATCTGTACTATTCTCTGTTGAGATTGTTTCAACATTACGATGCCGTACCTCGCTTTCAGTTACAGTTCCTGCATTGTCCGTAAATAATACATCGGACGTTGGTGAGTCATCAGCCTAAAATTTATTTTTATGAATTCATTAAGATGTTGCATATAAATGTGATAATTTGTTTTCTTTGCATTATATAATGCATATAGATGCATTATATATGCATAACAGATTTACATATTTATGATTGCTTACTTTTAAAGCAATCGTTTTTAACATGGTTTGTTCCTCCTCAGTGATGGGTTTCTTAACTGAATTTTTAGACAACAAGTTTACAATTTTTCCACATGTATCACACTGCCAGTTCAGTGACCTGAAATTGGTTACACGATTAGTTGTACAAAAAGAATATGTGTCATTTTTCTACAATATTACATTCAATAAAATGATATTAATACTTTTTAGCAAGCTTTTGTCGTTCCTCAGTGCTGTAGTCTAGTGCTCCTATGGTGCCACTTCCAGGTGTAGGCATGAAAGCTATCAAAGCTAACAATGCCGTTCTAATACTCCATGATGGTTGCCATGTTTCAGGATGATGACCAGAAATACTCAGACATATTTTTTTGTTTGTTTCAAAACGTCCATTTGGCTAAAACAAAAAATATGTAGCATAGCCATGATAAAATGTAATTTATATATATATATATATATATCTCTAATATCTACTTACTGTTAATAAGATGATATTTGGTGGCTTCATAGGATACTCTGGTGGTAGTAAGATCCTTCCATGATAAACACCACCTTCAAAGTCTGTAGATGGTGGCCCTTGTACTGTGAAATGCCATTCAAACAAATTGTCCTCGAGAGGAGATGCATAATATTCTTCCGTAGCCTCATGTAGCTCTTGAGCCTCTCTCATTAATCTCTTTACAGCTAAAATACAAAACAATATAGTGTTTCTTACAATTACTATTCATTTTAGCTTTCGCATTTTAGCATTCCAGTTATCATGTATTATATAAGTGTGTCACCTGTGATACAACTCGTTTTTGCATAGCGCACATAAGTAACATGTATATTTTAAAAATCTTCAAGGACATAAAACATAGAGCCATTATTTCCAATGTCATTTCCAACGTTAACCGACGGTTTCAAATTGTTAATAGAATTAGTAACATGAAGAATAAAATATCGTCATCAAAGGAGACAATTTTTTTTCTTTTGTGATTACGATTATTTTATTCATATTGGCAATTTAAAGGCCTTCAGTTAAAGTTAACTGACATTAGAAATAGATGGTCTATAGATGCATAAAACTTTAACTAATGTCAATACGATAATCGGCAAAAAAACGGCAATATAATCTAATTAACAGTACTATCAGCAATTAAGAGTTAAATTAGGAATCGTTATATGACAGCGTCATGGAAATATGTCAGAGTTGCGCGAACGATATATATGTCGAGTCAAAACAAAGTACCGGCGCAATTCATGGGTCAACTATCATAATACGACTCACCTGGACTCTTCGCGTTGTATTTTCCCTCGAATGACATTTTCCGTGGGCTTTCTCTTTCTTTCTAGCTTGGTAATATTCTTTTGTCTCCCTTGCCAAAGCGAAGGTTAAATATCCTAATATGTGTCGAAACGACGCGTATCGACGTCCGTTCACGCTACTCCTTTCCGATCCACCGACACCACACTATCCGACAGTGTCCATCTCGCTCACATATTTATTATTGGCGTGTCCTACGCCGTTAGCCCGGACAATTTTCGGCGTTACGGTTCGACGAGACTACGACGTGGTCCGTTCACGCGGTCGCCGCGTCGCGAAATACGATCAAATATGACGTGAGCTCACCGCGCTCGCGCCGTACCACCGCACACTCCACTATATGTTACCCAGTTCACTCCGAAATATATGTGAGTTCACTCCTGGCAATCAGTGACGCCAGATTTGAGACGCAAATCAGTGAAAAAGAAAATACCACACGTATGCGTAAGTCACGTATGGTACATGTGTGTTCTGTATTTGAGCTCCGCGTTTCGGCTAGTTTCGGACACTAGAAAAGAACAGACATACTATTTCTGTACCGACTAGTGCAGTCGGTATACTTACCATCAATGCATTCGTAAAATGTTGCTTTAGCTAATCAATAGATGGCACATCAGTGTTGGGCTAAAATTCCGGCTAAAATGAAGCATTTCTGGCCGTTCCAGCAGGTAATTTTAATTTTTCTACATGTTTATTTTCGCTTCTGGGCTACTTTTGACAATGTTAGGATGCTCGTAAAATATTAATAATTAAAACGTTTTTTTTTTTAATTTTTGGCAAATTTTTTGTTACAGAATTCAAAATGCCAATTATTAAAGAAACTAAAAAACGATGTCTTATTTAGAACGTTTTAGGATATCTTTTTTAGAAAACGTCGTTAGATAATAATATATTAAAACAATACTTTTATATACAAATTCTTTTTACAGAAATTAATTTAATTCAAAACATTTTTATTTTTTAATGTTTTCTTTTAATATATTGTATTAAATGGAACAATACTGTTTCCCATATGTACAAGTGTTTCGACAAATGCGTGTATTTAATTTGTTCTTTTATAAGGGATTTTGTTATAGAAAATAATCTTCTAATATGTATCGCGATCGCTATTTGAGAATTAATACAGTAAATGATGGCGCTTTCGCGTCGGAGTTCGCCCGTCACTCCAGCATCCTCTTAAATTAAACATAATTCTATTAGATAATTAATTATTCTAGCCTATAAGAATAGAAGCTTCAAGTTTAACTCAATGAAATAAATAATGTAGGAAGTAAATATTATATGCTTAAAATATTTTCAGTATATTAACAAATATTAGATATCTTTAATCTTTAACAAATAAAAGTATCTTAATTTGTTTCTGTGAAATAATATTTATAATTAATAATTTAATATTTTTGCAACAGTTCTTTTGTAATATTTTCTAGTAACAAATAAAAAACATAAAATAATAGGTGCACAAAGGAAGTGTATTGAAATAATACGTAAAACATTAAATTCGTGGAAATTATAGACTTTATTTTTAGAATATTCTAAATATCATAAAACAACGTAAACATTCACAACAGATGGGAATAGGGTGTTATTTATAATAGTAATAATAATGTCATTATGTTACCGTAATAATTAATCGTTACGAATATATCGTCATGACGTATTTATAATTATGTATATAAGTAAGATTTTCTTTATTTATTTTTATAATAATTACTCATTGTATCTCTCCACACGACAATGATAATTATAATAGTGAAGACGATATCAATAATGATAAGAATCGTGTAACGTTAACCATAATAATGATAATAATAATAGTACCGATGCGTCTATATACGTGTCATGTATATGTATATATAAACAAATATAATATATATTTATATATATATATATGTATGCTTATTCTCTTAAGAAGGGAATAGAGTCACAATGACGCTAAACAATGTATGCGATGCAATTTTCGCTTCTTTTTTTTTGTCGTTCTCCTTCGCGATCAAGAGTCTCACTTCTATAAAGTCGTGTGTTTTTTAGCCAAAGATCTTAGGAGTAAGTCTCGTAATAGTAAGTAGATAATAGTAAACGCATGTATATGTACAGTTCATTTTTTTATCGTTGAATACTATTCTTCGAATGCCGCGAGTAATATTAATAAGTTCAATTAGGGCTCTCGCACGGCGCCGACTCGCCCGATGGATGTGCTCCAAGGATTCTCCGAGTTTTCTCCTTTTCTCTCGTTTCACGACACAGTGAGCGGAGTGTAGAGACAAAAGAACGCATGCGAGGAAACTAAGAGTATTTTTTTTCCTACACGTAGCACCCAAGAAGAGCACGCACGTTTAGGAAACCAGGTTTGCGATTTCTAAATTTCTACAATTCTAATTTCTAAATCTGCGCGTCACACTTTGCAACGAAATGCAAAGGACAGTATTGAAATTAGTTGGACGCGATGGGCTTCGATCAACCCTGTTGTCTCGAAGACTCTCGACCAGCTTATTTATCGCAAGAACTTCGCGAAAGATTTTTCTACAACACAGGAAGGTACACTCGGCAAATTATGAATAGCAGAGCGATCGAGAAGCTCTAATAGCTTTTCCAGTCAAAGTGTTTCTCTCGAAGATACTTTCGCTTGAAAGCTCGGCCGTTTGAATGCCAATTAATTATAATTTGTCGATCTTCTACTTATCAGCAATAAATCTAATTACTTTCTTAAGTCTTATGGCCCTTCGTCACGCGAGGATGGCGAAATACAATCGACCGTCCGACACGCCGTATCTCCAATTGGATGAGCCACTCGTATTTCCGATGCACTATATTTTCCCGTTCGATTTTCAACCAAATTCGTCCTCCATCCATCGGGCGACGTTCACATGAAAGGAACGCAATCCTCAATGTGTGTTCTTGCAGCCCATATTCCGGGCGGCACACTCCGCATGACGCGCGCAATTCGGGAATTGTTTATTATGTAAAACGCCAGACACGATGCTGGCAGAGCGTAGAAAATAGATCTAATTAAACGACACACTATACAGGTACAGTTATTAAATAGGGAAATGTGACCACGCCGCGCTTGCAGACCTTTGCCGCGAAAAAAAATCGGAGAGAGAGAGATGAAATAAATAGTTCAAACACACTATATAGAGAGGTATCCTGTACGCTCGAACTCCTCGACCGATGAGACGCGCAATCGAATGTGGCGTAGCCGAATGCGGGGATAATGAAGAAACGCGAGAATCTCTTAATAGCTTTACGTTAACGACGATACACGTTAGTGTAGCCTACAAGACCGACTCTTTCTTGGGACACGTTTATTTCTCAGTCGTTTCGTTAAAGAGAGCGTTGAGATATCTCTATCTTTCGCGCATCATTTGCAAAAAACAATCGTGTGAGTGATATGCAGGCAAACGTTGCACGCCTTAAACAGTTGGGTCCACGATGCGCGCGTACGATACGAGCCGGTTGTACCAACGTCGGTTAGCGAACAACTAAATGAGCGGTTAATCACGCCTATTGCTAGAAGCTTGATAGTTTGCAAGAATCGAAATGCACAAGAGGGATCCGTGCGAATTAAAGCTTCGTTCTTTCACACGCGCGTCTAATTTAAGCGGCGAGAAGTTCCAAAGAATGAGAAAAAAAAATCGCTAACTTGCTGTGGTGCAGCGAGCACCTCCGTACACACACGCTCTCCACATGCCCATCTCAAAACACATTATAACCAGTATGGTTCCGGTGCTTAAAACTCGATATGTACATATGGTTCAACGATGTAGCTAGCCGATCGCAAGCCGTCAGTAACAAGCAGCCAATGACATTTAACGATAGTTACAAAACAATCGTAACAGTACGATAACATACCATATAGATATATATACATACGCACACGGGCATGTGTATGTACATACATATACACGTATCTTCTCACCGCCCCTTAGCGATAGTACATGATAATAATCAGTCGTAACAGGTACATAAAATTGTTTCTCGGTGAACCCGAACTGGTTACGTTCGATGCGACTCAAGAGGAGTCTCCGAAAATTCTTTCTTTTTTTTTCTTTTTCATAGAATATCACTGACGAGAGAAGGAAACGATCCTGGAGAGTGCGCAAAGGAACTCGTAGTCTCAGCGACAGCAACAACAACAATGATAACGTGAAGGCGCGCATAATGCATTAGGGTGACACAAAAATGCAAGTTTCCCAGCAAAATCGTCTCGCTTCGCGTCTTAACTGGAGAAACCTACCGCAATTCTACTAACCGCAAATTCTTAATTATCGCGACTATAATTGCGAAACATCGATATTTGAAAAATTTTTGTAACAACGAAAAATCAAACTGAGCTTGAATTTGACAAGGTTTCTCTTTATCAATCGATTCCACGCGAAAGCCAATAAATATACACGTAATGAAAGTGTGCTGTCGAGTTCGCGTGTAGAACGCAACGTAGCCACGAAAAACCACACACAGTGCTTTAACTCAGTCGCATGGTACGATACACTTTGCTTGCTCGCGTCATAACGCGTACATGTAGGGCGACCCGAAAACTCACGTATATATATGATATTAAGATCTACAAAGGATACGACACGCATATTTCTGTCGGCACGACGCTGTATCCAAATGAATGAGCAGACGTCCGTACGCGTTGATGGAGTGATCGCATGCTGTCAGGTCGTTCTATGCGGGATAAATTATCGAACCGAGGTATAATGCCGCAGCTCTCTATACAAAAAAATTTATTCGATTGTGATAACTCTGTGAATTTACGCTACGCTAAGCGGGGGAAAAATATGTGAGAAATCTATTACTTCATCATGCTACGAAATGTCACCGAGAGGAAGATCTTTTCTCCGAAAGAAAGAATGACGGGGGCGTGAGAGGAAATTGAATTTACAAAATACGTTGCAAAGAAAGAGAACAATGTTGGAGAAGTGCGATTATTCAAGTGTAAGGTGAATCGAAGCGCGAGTTGATTTGCGTAAACGGTTTGAGACGTCTAAACAAGGCACAAGTCTGTTATTCGGAAAATGTATGGTCCATGAGGGTGGTTCGTGCATGCGAAAGGGGAAGTCTTTTAATTAATTCCTCGCGCAGTTAATTTCTCCGTTCTTATATTAGCGCGTTCACAGAACAGATCACTTTTACAACCAAAGACAGACGGGAGCGACTTGAATCGCGGATTCTGGATCATCATTATCGTGTCACCCTCGTCGTATTGTAGCGCAAGTGACGATCGTAATTATGAGTATCGACGTATATATCATACGCGCATATATTAATTTGACCCGCGTGTCGTTTTATTAGGAATACTAAACAGCAACGTTGTTTATCGTGTACATAAAAGAAAGTACGAGAAAGTCGAGATAGAATACATTATTCAGATGTAAAATTCAAGAGAATGTAATTGCCATTGGGATCTTTCTTTTCTTGAGTAAATAATGAATTTTTTCTAATTGTATCTTCTCTTACGTACACAATGAATGACGTCACTTTCCGGTACATTTGGAAAATTGCTAGCGCCAAACGTATGCGCTTCGTGATAGCGATAGTACAAGTGATAACGGTAGTAGCGATGATTGCAACAGCGACGGTAATGATAATGGCAATAATAAGATCATAATTAAATGAGTAATATATATAATCATCGTAATCATAATGATTGTTGTAATATCGGATAATCAACACTATAATGTATATGTATACACGTGAGAGTGTACAGGATATCCCGGAATTATTGAGGTTTCTTTCAGCCGGGAATTCTGTAATCGATTTAAAATCAAGTCATTTTTCAACAAAAATATTGTGAAAAATATTGACAACTTTCGAATTACAAGTAAAATAAAGTTAAAAAAGTTTGAAAACATTCTACATTGTTCCACCCAGTTTTGAAAATTAAATTCCGAAATATCGATAATATATTTATGGAAATTTTTACCAAGAATAAAATTGTTGAGGAAATCCACGGATGAAAGCAACGGCAATAGCTTCAGGATATCCTGTACATATCGTAGTGTTCTTTTTTTTATATATATATGTATATTTATGTATATTTATATTTATAATTGTGTGTATATTATATTATATATTTCATTATTATTTAACACATTTTTTTGTACAAGTAAATTAATTAAGAATAAGTACAACTTGGTAGCAAAGAGAGATAGAATTATTATTCACTGTATATTTTATATCATAGTGAGAAGAGAGAGATATATATATATATATCTTATTTCATTTTTATTATATAATATTCTTTTATTACTTTTATTATGTTTCAGATCGTAATTCTGACAGTGCCGCCGTTCGGCTTCCGGAGAATGCTTTCTGTCTCGAATGTCTCATCTACACTCTTTCACCTTCCGGTATATCCGATATGATTGTGCTCGCGGTCCCCCGCGCTGTTCGTCGACGCTGAATTCAGTTCGCGAAACTCGCGAGACGCGACGTCCCGATTTCTAGAGAAGAGGTAGAAAAAACAGCGAAAACGACGACAAAATCCCGCGACACGATCGCGGGCGATTATTACTATAAATATTACACGAGAGACGAGTAGCCGTTCCCGATTCTGATTATCTTCGGGACGTCAACGTGCGAGGGCATATTAAAGCACGTGACAGCGCGGACGATCGAAGCGGAAGGCGTCTCGACGATCGCGTTTCCACACGAAACGATTTTTTTTCCTAACTCTGTGGATTTCTCTCTTCGAAATAAATAACACGCAAAGATGCGATATCCAACGCGAACGCTTCTAAACGCGTCGTCGTTTTGCGATACGATTGCCGATTTCATCTCTCGACCGTTCTGCTCTGCTGTCGCACACCGACGGAAAGAATTCAGGTTGCGATTGGAATAGAAACAACGGTTTAAAATAATAGATTAACGATTTTACACGCGTAAGATGCGCGTTATCTTCCTTTTCTTTAACTCTGTACTACCTCGCGTGTTTCTTCAACATCGTTATGACCTACTATCGGATTTTAATTTCGTGCCTATTGGCCGAGTTCACGCCCGAGTAGCATATTACGATCACCCCACGGGCTTGCCTGCAATCGTTGCAATTTGCAACGGCTCTTTCTGACAAATTTGTGCGACTAGCTGGGGCGAGAGATATGCATCACATGTCTAAACGAGCGTACGTGTCATCATCAGTTTACCGTTTTATGCGTGGATTTCACGTCCCGAGCCTCCTCGAGATTCTTGGCATCTTGTCAGAGCATACTGTTATTCTAAAGTATCTCGTTTTCGATACATGCAGCTCTAAACCTCCATCTCTACGATATCACAAGATATATAACAAAACGGAAGTTCAAAGAGAGATCACGAATAATATTTAGTATACAATATTACGAGTGGGATTTTTATGATGGATTATAACGGATCGAATAATCGTTGCTTAATTCATCTTTCCAACTTAACAGATAATGAATATCTCGCGTGTTCCTTGCTAAGATGCGCGCTGTTCAAGAAAATTAAGATGCAACGAAAACGAGATTTCTTCTTTGATATCGCGCGACCGAGAACGTTGAATGGATCCTCGGAACAAAACGGCCGAGACGAATCGCGCTTTAATGAATGCAGTTGGAAAAGATGCTCGACGTACACCTCTTTCGCGCGTCAATTATTTCGTGCGATCGTGACGGACGTGTGCACGCGCGGCAGCGAAACACGGTATTTCGGATTACATAATGAATAATTAATAATAATGATAATAATAATAATAATTAATAATATGTATAATATTTATAATATTTATGTATATTAAATAAATTCTCCGATATTATGTATGTATAACTTACGACTTAGCCCTATGCCTAACTCGACTTAAGATTTAAGTAATCCCACCCCGTGACGCGGGGGATGCTCCATTCGCGTCGTCCAGGGCGGACACATCTTAAGAACCTAGTAAAATCCTAAAACCGGAAGCTCCGCCGTGACGACAGGCCAGCTGCCTCTTTTGTTTCTTTGGCGGAGACCGCTCGTCCGTTCTCTCTTTCTCTCTCTTTCTCTCCCTCTCATTCTCTCTCTTTCACACTGTCTATGCGATTCCTCTCATTAGACAGACGCAACCGCGCGCGAGCCGTCTGTTCCGTCTCTCTCTCTTTCTCGTTTTTCTTTTCGCATCGGAGAAAAAAAAAATAAAAGGAAAGAAAAAGAATGGCGTCCAGGAGAAGAGGAAGGGTTTTCCTCGCTGCTGCGTGAACGTCCGATCTGACCGACGTGTAAACGGATCTATGAGATAACATCGTTCTAACGTTTATCGCTCATCGTCGATATGTCGCGCGCGCGTACGGACACCGAGTCGATTACCCGCGAAGGACACGCGGGGCAATTGTACGCGCTGGTGAATGCTGGGAAGAGGAGAGAGCGAGAAATTGCGATATAGGTGGAATGAGCAAAAGGTGAGGAGAAGGGAGGAGCGAAGGACAATTGCACGAGCGGTCGGAAGAGAGAGACCGGGAAACATGACGCGCGCGCGCGCGCGGCTCATCGCAGAAGGGAGGCTAAACACGGTTCTCGTTCTGCTCGCGAGTAAAGTGTACGCGAAAAAAACGGAGGCAGATCCTCGGAGAAGAGGAGTCCCACTAAACGTCCGACCGAACGTTCCTTGATGGTCGTGGCGATCCTCTTTTCCTCGGCTGGCTGCTGCTGCTTTCTTCCGCTATGCGCGCACTAGGACCGACGACAGTGCGCTCGCTGGTAACTGCGTCAACGAAAAATCGCTTCGTGTCCGCGTTCGTTCGTTTCTGATCTTCCTCTTGCGATGGCAATGGCTTCTCCTGACTCTCTGTTGTAACAGTCAGGGTAGGGGGGAGAGACGAGCAATGGTTTGCAAATGATAGCGCTGGAGTCTTAGGACCCGTCTACGCCATCTGAAAGAGTTCGATTAATTGCGGTTAATTGCTCGTAGCACAATATTATTCTACTCTCTATAGAAGGAATGTTTTACTATTATCAACTAAATTTTTTAAATTAATTAAAACTCTTTTGTGACGACAGATCAAAAATGCAAAATATTATTCTCTTCTGGGAGTTTTTTTATTATTATTAATTAAAATTTTGTAAATTAATTAAAACTGTTTCGCGACAGTATAATCAGATGCAAAATGTTACTCTATTCTAGAAATTTTTTATCGTTATTAAATTATATTATTTTTCGAGTTTTACCCCTAGTTTTTTATATAATTAAAGTAACTTAAAGGAAATTAAAGTACAATATTTTGCCACATCATGTAGAATAAAATTAATATATAAATTATACAAAGTGGCAGTTAAGAAAATCATGTTACTAAAAATTTACAGTGCGCTCCTTGTGCGCGATGTTTCGAAAGAATTAAACTTGTTAAGAATTTATTGATTAAGAGATGGCTGGCAGCGCGCTTTCTGTGAAATTTACAGGAAAAGCGGACATGAAGGCGTGAGAGGCTTTTTCTCCGTCTCTTGACATTTAGAAATCTGCGGGTGACTTGGACGCGTACCTTGATTGGATATATGTGGGGCTCACGATTGCGGTTGCGGCGTGTTGTGGTCCCGCTTGTCTCCCGCAGGAGGCGGCGGCTTTGTCACGGGTTTCTCCTCGTTCACTGGCGTGGGTGGCGCGTCCTTCCTCGGTGGCATTCTTTCGTTTATGGCGTCCAAGCCCTTGGCTTCGGCGAACGAAGTGATTTTGTGATTCGGCGAGAATCCTTGAAGAGCTAGACGGAGCGTAAAGGAGAAAAAATAAGTAACGTCAGAATGCGGGGAATTACGAAGGTCCATTAAACTCCAATTTATTTTCTCACGATCACACCCTGTACTTATGTTTATTACAAAGCACCACACGTCTGCGAGAAAGAATAATAATAATTAAAGTACCCTGCGTTCTATCTTTTTAACGTGCTGCAACTATAAGATAAGAAATATGCACAGTCGATCGCAATTTTCAATACGAGAGTGAGCTACGGTTTCTCTCAACGGTAATATTATTACGAAATAATACTCTAAAAGTCTCACCGTTTTTCAGGGAAGTCTTGCCGCCGGATAATGCACCAAGCGGTAAAGCTCCAGTCGGCGTCAAGCCCTTCAACTGCAGCACGCTCTCGCTCTCCTCTCTGTGAAACCAGAATTAAAATTATAATATTGCGTAATAATTACATTTTTAATAAGACTGCGATTGTTAACCGCTTTTCTCGCAATGCCACTATTTTTAATTAAAATTTGATATCATTATTACGATTATTAGAATTTCTAAATCAGCCTGTATTAATTATCACGACTTTTTATGTATCAAAGTGTGCGTTTACTGACCTCAGGACGGAGAAGACACGCGCCATTTTACCAATGGCCCTAATCTTGTTTCTGATGACTTCCTTACGTAGATTAGCTGCTGCACCTATAAATACGACGGACACATTTTATAGCACATCGTATGATAACAACGGAATACTAGCGTTCTATATCATCCAGCGACGATCGACGCGACGAGAGCAATCGATGGCATTTTTTTCATTTCCGCTATGATAACATAAATTTCTCCAGCGTAATATTAATTGAGAACGCAAAAATAACGCGACAGTCATTATAACAAATTTTGAATTTCTGTCACGCGTTACATAAACCGGGTAACGAAATGTTTTCGCATCAAAATAAATCAGTAACGATGAAAATATTGGTCGATTAAATTACAATGCGTTTTAATCAAGAAACTTGATTGCTCCGCCACGCCGTCGGCCACCGATTTGCCTCGCGTTCGTCGTCGCGCTCGCAAATCACCTGCGATGATTCTCGCCGTCGTACGTTAACTACTACGTTATTCATACCACAGAGCGCTTACCGGCGGGTATTATATTATTAATAATCACTCGTTATTTTCATCGGGTCAACGCCAAGACAATCAAACTACAGGCAAGAAGTACTGTGCGCATCATCGGGCGGGGTCGTGTAAGCAGTCGCGCAATCAGAACGCGCGTGATACGTCGTCGCATTCACAGAGAAGCACGCACTCTTCGCGTAACCGCGATAAAAAGCTGTTTGCCTCGAAAGTTGTACGAAAGTAAAAAGAAAAACGCAAGATATTGATAATGCGAAGAGTGCGCGCGGTTGCGAACGCGAGCGTGAGTGCACTAAAAGCTGTGTAAACGTGCGTAAATACAGAGTGTATCGCAAAAATGCTACGGTGTCTGCATGTCTGTCTGCCTGTGTGTGTGTGTGTGTGTGTGTGTGTGTGTGTGTGTGTGTGTGTGTGTGTGTGTGTGTGTGTGTGTGTCTTTGTTTATTTATATACTTCGGCGCATATCAAGATACTGCGTAAACCTGATGCGAGAGAAAAAAAGAGGCATGCACATGCTGGACAAGCGCGAAACGTACGCACCATCGGTCACTACAAACTCTTATCGTTACCACTTCCCCTTGGCAATCGCTTGATACTTTGAGATTCATTGTCGATGCGAAAGAGTTGCCGCAGGAAAAAAGGAATAATTTCAATCGTGACAATACTCGTCGTGATTGAATTAAATTGTTCTCGTTATATTTCAATATTTCCGCCGTGCTGATCGATTTATGCGCTCAACTGCGCGAGCATTCGTTCTTCACGAGCAATTGTTTTCGAAGCAATTTTTAATTTAACGAAGAAATTTTTTATGGAAATTTGCGTCGAAGCAACTCTTTCGCATCGGTTTATCTGTTTGCTCGTTAATTGACGCAGCGGTCGAGCTTGCCGCTCGATCGATTGTATAGACGGTACCTTAACGAGGAACGGAGGGGGGGAAGGTTCATTCGTAGCGCCGCTAAAATCTTCCGTTAGCGGGAAGTGCAGAGGAGACAGATCTGGCGCTCCTACTTTTCATCAGAGCGCTAAAGTGGCTTGCACTTTTTATCCGCGTTAAAAAAAAAAATGTATTCGTGGAAGCTTCGATGGCTGGCGGCACTTCGCTTGGAGAAACAACGCAGCGCTTCTACGGCAGTTCTGTATATTATTTCTGCCCTAATCGCGCGATTTTTATCCTCGTATTTCATCTCGTTCGGCAAAAAAAACCCCGCCTCTGCTGATTTCCCGGTTAAATCGGACGTCGGAAAAAGGCCGTGCCAAAAATATCGACGTCGTTTCTCGCCGCGCGTCGACGCAACGCGACGCGCCGAAGTATCGTTTCCGCGCGGTTCCGGTTCTCTAATGATTTACGGCGCGGATCCGCAGTCCTTAGGCCGCTGTCACGATGATGTATCGCGCGATTTGTCAGTCCGCGGGGGAATACGGAGTTTCAATCTCTCCCGTTGTTCGCGGATCTTTGACCGTGCGGCGGACACTTCGCTCTCGGAAATAGCGGGACGTCACCGAAACGGCTGATCGATAAACGTCACGAAGCGACGGAGATTATCAAGAGGCAAGGTCTCCCCGCGCGATTCGGAATCGGCGCGGTACGCCGCTGTGTGATTGATCAACGAGGATCCCTCAAATAACCGCCGGGCTGCTGGAAATATCACTAAGATTGCATATCACGAGTCAATTAAACATTTCATAATTAACCGGGATCGCTATTGGATTAAACAGCGGCCATTTCGCCTCTATCGAAAATTATTCGATGCACAATCCCGTGTAATCCAAAATCTCGCACCGTCGCCGAGATCGCCGCTCGTTTATGCGATTCCCAACTACATATATGCGCGAGAAGCGAGACGTCGTCGCGCGGGGGAGCGAGAGTATCAGATTTATATCCGCAATTTTCACGTAAGTAGATTATTTCCCCTCGAGTTTATTACCCGAACGTTATATCGCGCGCGATTTGCAGATTCGAAGCGATCGGCGAGAAACGATTCGCATCGGTACACCCGTCGCGACGCGAGCAAGCGATTTGTCGAAAGTGCCTGCTTCTGTCGCGCGGGAAATCGATGAAGTCGAGCATGTCAAATATTAGACGTTCGGCCTTCGGAGCGAAGAGCGCAATTTCGCAGCTCGCCGAATTCCGTGGCGATATAACTTTCACGGCAGTAATTTCGAATGCAACGGTAGTAATTTGGGATTTGGGAAAATTGCATCCGCGACATTTACGTGCTCGCGTCGCTTTAATAAAAAATACGAAAAAATTGAGGAAAAAAAAAATAATAAATCACTCGTACTCGTCGAGAGCCAAATCCACAAGAAATGTCGAAGGCTCGCTCTTCGATTAAATCGCCGAAATCCAACGATCGGACAGTTGGTCTCGGAAAACGTCCTGCGCTTAACAAACGAGAGGATGCGGCACAACAACGACGTATACACGTCAAACTACAAACTTATACAACAGATCAAGCCTTTTGCTCTCTATACATTTATGTGTCAGCGCACGGTTACGCACACGTAACTAGTCGCAACGGCGTCACCGCCGCTCTCTCGGAGTCAGCGGTAATTCGAGAATCGAACGCTACGGATGACGCAGATCCGCAATAGCGATTCGTGCAATAACAATAATTCGGGAGAATAGAGTTTTCGCGAAAAGGGGGGGTGGGAGAGCGGACGGGAGTCTCGCATTTAGTGAAAATAAACATACATACAGATTATCGCGACTCCGATATCATAGAACGTAACGATGATATGTTTATGCGAACTTTGGCGATTTTCATTACATGTTGTTATCGTATCGTATGGCACAAACTGCATATTGCAAAACATTCGAATGCATTCGGGGCTGCCGATCCGGCGCAGATCCGTTGATTGGAAATTCTCGCGAATATTCTTTTTTGACGTTAAATGCCGAACGATAACACCGATATTGCGAACTCTCTGCGCGAGTAACGGAACGTTGAATTCACGACCGCTCTAAAAATGGTGGGCTTGTAATGATCCGTGTAAATAATCAGTGCCTGTAACGCGAGCCGATGTTATTTTCGAGTGCACGCCGTTGCGACAGTTGTCTACCGAGCTAACATTTATCAAAACGCAGTCGAGTCTGGCACCGAGTCTCGAGCATGCGGAGGCCCGTCGTACATCTTCGAGATCATGATTTCTTACACATTTCCACATCATCATCTCTAATGCAACCTTAATGCGACCACTCGTCTCTTATAAATATAACTAAATACGCCTGTTGGTTTTCAAGGCGAAAAAAGAATAAAAAAATTAATTTAACATTCTTGGAATATTAATCAGAAATTATTGATGAAAGAGTGCTACTTTAATGCACTCTCAAATAAATATAATGTTTTATTAGTATCGAAATGAGAGAATTTTAATTTTAAAAAATTACTTGCTACTCTTTAAATTAACCACAAAAAAATAATTCTTCGAGCGATTCAATCGACCTGATTCGATTGCGATTCGTCTTCCTTTTCGTGAACCTGTGCTCAAAACATTATAGCGCAGGGCTACTAGTGCTCTATCGGGTTTCCCAAAAGCAGTTTTAGAAGCCGCAACTATGCCTTCGAACCGACTTGCGAAACAGACGTGCTTGTCCGAATTTTTAATTATGCTCTTTCGATATTGCGACATAAATAATTATTATTTCACACATAATTGATGAACTTGTCGCTTCTTGTTTCTCAATTACACCTCTTTGATATATATTATCTCACATGCGATGTTTAACACTGATTTCCCACGTGAGCATAAGACCGCAGACAGGCAGATCAAGTCGGCTCGAAATATCGAACAATCTTCCGAATGCAGGTCGGACATATCGCTCACGTTGCAACGACGGGCCTTCGACATTGATCAAATCATAGGCGCCGCCGCGTGACAACCTCGAACAAACGCTCTCTCTCGCCTTTTAGGAAGGATGCGACGTCTATGTCACGTGGACCGTTCGTCGAGAATAGGAAGGATCGCATACCCAATGGCGAACATTTAATCCTCGGCTGCCACATTGCAGCTGAATTAAAAACTAATGATTTCAATTCACTTCAGATTTTAGTGAAATAAAAAATAAAATTGATCTCGTTTAATTTGTCAACGCAAAACGCCGTTACTCTTCGGCCAAAATTCAAGCGCAGCAGCCGAGAATTAACAAAAACGATCGAGCAACGCGACCGAGCAATCGGAAACCATTGGGTGCTAGACATATTCCTATTTGAGGACTCTGTTCGAATCGTGGACAACTGCAACCGGGGAACTGAACGCCGCAGCACTAATCAATCCCGCAAACCGAAACTGGCGGACTCTTCGAAATCCAACCCCTCCAACTTCTTAATCTCACCCTCCTCCCCTGCCGGAGGGGTTGCGGCGGCCGTTAACGAGGTTTATCGCTCGTTAATGCGAATGTTAATTCGATCTTAATTCTCTCCACCGCGGAGGATTATCTTGCGTTTCGTAATTACCGTAGTCTCATTACGCGGGCGAATCGAATGCGGAAGTTTACTTCCGTTAGAGGTATCGCACGGTTAATGTACTCGAAAAACAAAAAATCCGGAGAAGAGAAAACGGCG